GTGCCATGGGATGAAAGAGCTGGAGAAGGAGCTGCCATTGCTGTGAAGAACTGAGCTTGAAGCTTTGCTAAGTTGGAGAAGAAGATTGCACAAAGGAGGTATAGCTCATCTTTCTAAATAGATCTAGGTTTTTCTTGAGCTTGCTTGTGTTCCTTTGTAAGAATCTTTTTCTACTTAGTGGATTGCCTGGTCGGTTGATGACCCTCAGTTTTTCCCAATGGTGGGTTTCTGGGTGAACAAATTTCTGATTTGCATATTTGAATTTTCTGGGTTTGTGTTCTTGAGAGTTGACTAGTCATCACATGTATTTCTGGGTTTGTGTTCTTGACAGTTGACTAGTCATCACATGTATTTCTGGGTTCGTGTTCTTGCAGTTGACTAGTCATCTTTTTCTGCTGTTTGATGCTTACTTGATTATGATGCTTTCACACACTTTCACCATAGTTGTTGCTAGCACAGGAGATGCCTAGATTGACGGGTCCTTCTGAGTGCCTAGGTTGTCACTAGTAATTCTCTAGGCTTGCAGGTACATATTGATATGCTTTGTTGTGATTATATGATTATTCATGTCTGACAATTGACTAGTCATAAGAATATTGATCAAGGTCTAAAGTGTGTGAAGTTTGTTGTGTTTTTGTTTGAATAGTGTCATTTAATTTACCACTCGTCACCTAAGTGCCAATTTCAAACACACATATGCATAAATAGTCCATCCACATTCTTACCAGAAAAGTATTTATTCGTAGTTTTATACGTCTTTTAATCAAGCTTTGTACGTTATTTCAACGAGCCATGAGCATTGTAATTGGCTTTTGTGATATTTCTGACATAAAAAGAGAAATTTATCTTTCGACCAAAAAAAAAAAGGAAAAAAGGAGAAATTTATCAGTACTATAGTTTAGAAACTTTATTTGGAATTCGAATTTCCTTCAATTCTTAATTTTGATGTTGGGTTTAATCAGAAGTTTTGATTTCTCTATGGGTGTATTTAGTAATCTGATTGGTTTGAATTGGGTTAGAGTGACTTATAGAAAATGTTTTTCGGAAATTGGTTTGATTGGGCAGTAATTTTCATTACTAAGTGACTTCAACTCCTAAGTCACTTGTGTGTAAATCAGCTGCCCCTGGTGATTACTTACATTACTTGGTTGCTAGAGGATCATAACAAATTGAAAGATGAACAATAGAACTGTAAGAATTTCAGTTAAACGAAATAAATCCTTTCGATTTGCCTTGCAGAGCAACTAAGTACATGGGGTTGTCTAGTCATGTCATCTTTCAAATTCAAAATAAATCACTATCATTGTGGACAAATTTAATTACGCCAGTGATGATTTATCCTCTAGGCTGGCCATTTTGATCCTCAGCTCTCGCAAGCGGTTTGATGTTTAGCCAACGAATTGTGAAAGGTCTTTGTCATCGTTGGATGCAATATGTGGACGATCAGTCCAAGCCCCTCCTTCAGTTCAGCCTGAGTTAATAGCAATACCTAGAAGATGCCTTGGTTGAAAACTTGGATCCAAAGGTTTTTTCGATCTGGCCAAGTAACGCCAATACAGCTGCAGCCATTGGTGTCAAGAATGTTGTCCATAAATGAGAGTTAGCCTCTGCTCACACACCAAAGCGAGAGGTGAGACCAAGGAAGGCTTCTTCACTGCAGGGGATTGTAATACCACCCATTGGATGATCGTATCCAAACTCTTCTTCCGCTTGACTTAACAAATCTTGGAAAGAGGACTGGTTCAAGTATGATAGTGGAATCACAAACCGCTTCTTCTGACTCTCCCCAACATAGACTGCAAAATAGCCTTTAGGGACATCTAAGGACTTTGACGGTACTTGGGTTTTCTTAGCATGTATGGTACCAGGCAACCGGAAACCCATAGTTTCAAGATTTCTATGTTCTCATTGAGAACACAAAGAAGGAATATTTCGAATGAATTGAAAAACTGAAAAGGCTTTGATAAGATATGTTTGGGAATAGAAGAGTTGTGTTGCTTTGTTCCGGAATCTGATCATATGTATATATAGATGAAGTGGTAGGGTGAAGACTATCTGTGATATAAAATGATTGGTGAAGAATCACTGGAATGGACCCAATTGAGAGACATTAGCTCATGGAATTTCACATGGACTTGTCTTCCAACTAATCAAGAAAAACTCACGAGTCAATGTCCATTCTAAACAAACATCATGTCCCACACGAGAAATTAAACACTCATATAAATTACGTTCGATCCAATTAAGTACATCAACTTGCTAGACAAACACTCGCGCAGAGGATTCTGTGCTGGATGCGCATGTCTTGCATTCTGCATTTTTTATATCTGTAGAATATGGTAGCTAGCTAAACAGTGATTTAGCCTCTGCTTTTCCATGCATGCATTTGCGGCCTCTATCCATAAGTAGCTCGGATCACCATCGTGGTTTGGGAGACATACTCATTTGAAGGGTCACTTACTTCTAGTCTTCCAAATCATCATGTAGAATTTGGTAGTGATGGACCTGCTTTAGCTAAAAACAAAAGCTAAATTTACTTCAATAAACCAATCTGGAAATCAGATCCAAGTTTGCCTAGTTGTGAATATGAAAAGTCTCTAATTTAACTCAGCTGCATCAGCATGCTAACACCTCTTAATAAAGGGAGAAGCAAGCCTTGCCTAATTTACCGAATTACCAAACTTCAGACAACAAAGCTACTGAGGAATCACACATTTATTGCTATTTTATTTTGTTTCACTAAACTCTGCTACTTGCCCCTTAGCTCTAGCTGAAGAAGTGGTATTGGGATAAGGTGTGAAACTGGTAGCTGGATATCGTAGGTTCAATTTTTATCGTTTGTATTAAATAAAAAGGCTGCTACTTCACCCTGTCAACACATAATAAGGTATGGCAGAGGGACCGATATTCACAAACTACTTTGTCAAAGACAAACGATCACAAGATGACTAATCCCATTGTTAGTTGGTCTAATTAACTTGATTTAGTGGATGCCAAAATTTTAATATTTGACTTTTATGAGAGTGGAACGTTAACATGTTCTAACCATTGATTAGTGCTTTTTATTGAGAATTTGAAGCTTGGAGACTTAATCTGCTACCTATGGTGATTATTTACATTACTTGGTTGCCAGAAGAAAGTAATAAAATGAAAAGTATGAATGAAAGAAAGAACTGTAAGCACTTCACATTAATGTCAAGTATTTTGATCTCAATTTTCCTTGCAGGACAATTAGATACACGGGGTTGACATTAAAGAATCTTGCCATCTTTAAAGTAGAGCAATATGATTCTTGAAAATCAGTGTCGCTGAATTTACGTCCGCTGGGCTGGCATTTTTTTTTTCCTCAGCTCACAAGTAGTTTGAAGTTCTAACCCGTGAATTACTGAAGGCCTCTTTTCCTTGGATGGAAGAGGACCCCTTCCAATGAAGGATATCATCATATCATTCAGTTGATTCTCAATCCAAGACCTTCCTTGAGTTCAGCCAGTTTTAGCGTCTCCTGAAGGATGAGTTGGCAAGCGAATTTCGACCCAAAATTTATCTGTGAGAGAATTAATTGGCCCTTGTACAGCTGCAGCCAAAGGCGTCAGCATTGTGTCTATGCAGAATTTGAGCCTGGGCTCACACACCAAAGCTTGAGGTGAGATCAAGGAAAGTGTTTTCACTGCAGGGGATTGTGATAGCACCCATTGGATGATCATATCCGAATTCATCTTCAGCTCGAGTTAACAAATCTTGAAATGACGGTTGGTTCAAGTATGAAACTGGAATCACAAACCGCTTCTTTTCACCCTCCCCAACATAGACTGCAAAGTAGCCTTTAGGAACATCCAAGGACTTTGAAGGTGCTTTGTTTTTCTTAGCATGTACAATGCCAGGCAACCGGAAGCCCATTGTTTTGAAATTTCTAAATAACAAGACCAAAAAGGAAGATTTCAAATGAAGTGAGAAAGCTCTGATAAGATATTCTTAGGAATAGAAACACTTCTGTTGCTTTGCTCTTGAATCTGAGCATATGTGTGTTTATATAGATGAAATGGTATGGGGAAGACCATCTGTTACATAAAATGATTGGTGAAGAATCACCACGATGGACCCCGGTGAGAGACATTAGCTCATGGAATATCACATGGACTTGTCTTCCAACTCGTAAAGAAATAATCATGAGGCAATACTCAACAAACATCATGTCCCACCTCACTTGAATAGACCAGTCCTATGACGCTGGAAAATATCACCCCCACATAGAAGCTGTCAGCTTGTGTGATAATTGTTGATGCTTCACAATCTATATCTGCAGGGATTTGGAGCCATGACTTTAAAGGTTATGATAGCTAAACTGGGAGCAAGTTAACCACCCTCCATGTGATGTTGTTCTATGAAAGATCCAATTGCGACGAGCGATCCTTGGTTACAAATTACGTACCATTTTCTTCAATCAATCTATAAATGGTACTGATAATTATAGCTATGAGATAGTAGATCTGCAATTTAATTAGTATTGGGGTCCACTTGGTCTCAACCATGTCTGTGATCTAATAGAGACTTATCTTCTAAGTAGGATTTATTTTATATAAGTTTTAGTCACTTCTGTTGGTCTCTCTAGCTTTTAAAAGAGAGGTAGGACATGATGTTTTCTCATTGATATGGACAATGACTCATGAGCTTTTCTTGGTTAACTGGAAGAAAAATCTATGTGCTGTTCCATGATCTAAAGTTTCTCAATTGGGTCCATCCTTGTTTCTCATCACCAATCATTTTGTTCTATTCTTCATCTATATATATACGCATAGACCAGATTTTTTTCAGCATAACTTCATTTGATATATTTTCACATTGATATAAAACAGGGATTGCTTTGATATTTCTCAACAAAACATACAAGAATTGAAAAAAAATTGCAAAACAGAGAGCTTTTATTAGCTTGGTAAATGTGAAGACTTGTTTTGCTTTGCATATGGTTTTGTTGAGAAATATCAAGACCTTGGGTTTTTGGTTGCCTGGTGTTATTGTAGATGTGAAGAATAGTCCTTTCCAGACTGTATCAAATGCAAACCAAGTACCTTCAAAAGGCCTCCAGAAAGGCTATTTTGCAGTCTAATTAAGTTGGCAAGAGCCAAATGAAACGGTTTGTGATTCCTGTTTCAGAATTGAACCACCCTTCATTCCAAGATTTTTTAAGTCGAACTGAAGAAGAATTTGGATACGATCATCCAATCGTGGCATCAAAATCTCCTGCAGCGAAGGCACCTTTACCGTCTCATATATATGTATATGTTTATGTAAGCTTGTATATTAAGTATATATAAGCTACATAATTGGAGAGTTTTCTACACATTAGATAGAGCATATTGTTTTTTTAAGTTGGCTCACCTCTTGCAATAGAGGATTTGCTTTCAACAAGACTATCTTCACTTCCTAAAATCATATATATATTTGAGACCTTCTGACTGTTGAGAGTGTTTGTCCCACATTGAAATGTTAAGGGACCTAGCCTGGGTTTATAAGGAGTTGGGCTACTCCCCCCATTGCCAATTGGCTTTGGGGTGGAACCTCAACTTCACTGACTGGGGTAGTGTACCTATACATTACACTAGCATAATTAAACGGTTTGATGCATGTATTTAGAGAGGATGCTGTGCTATGTGTGTGCATGTTCTGCATTAAATACTATAGGCTATAGCTAGATGGTTATATAGCTTCTGTTTCTCCATGCAGGAATCTGTGGTCATCAGCAGCTCGAATCATTGTCAGGAATTTGGCCGTCGTGGACGTGGGTAGCTAAAAACGAAATCAAGCTTACTACAATTGAACCACTATGGCATTCTGGATTTGCCTAGTTGTGGACGGAAAAGTCTCCAATTTTATTAAGCTGCTTTAGCATACTAACCTCTTAATACAGAGAGAAGTTTGTGACCATATGTATCTCTTATCCATTTCTTTCTTTCTTCTAATGAAATTTCCTCGATCCTGTGGTCGAGGTTGGTTAGCAATATATATATATATGTATCTTGGCAAGACCAAATCAAATTAAATTCTGCAGACCTGATTAGTCTCTGCAAATGAAGCCTGGCCTAATTTAGTTTACTGAAACTCCAGAAAATGGCATTAAGTTCAGGATTTGATTGTTTTAATAGACAAATAAAAACAGAGATTCTGCTCCAGTACTAAATGAAATATCCCAATACATACATATGTAACACAGGTTGAGCAGTATTTGCAAAGTACATGGTCAAATAGAAATGATCAGACAGTGAATAATCCAATTTATGGATGGTTTGAACTTGATTTATTTATGACAAATTGATATTTTCATGGGAAATTAAGCATGGATTAGTGCTATATTACTGGTTATTAGAGACTTGGTCGGTCACATATATTCCATTATTTACTTGTGTGCAAATCTGCCTATGGCATTACTTCGATTACTTAGTAAGCTAATGATAATAAAATCAAGAATGAATGAGAGAACCGTAAGCAATTCTGTTAAGAGGAAAATTTTATAATCTCAAGTTTCCTTGCAGGACAACAGAGTACATAGGGTGGACAATAAATGTCTTCAAAAAATGTGTCAGGGAATTTAAGTCCGCTAGGCTGGCAATTTTCTCCTCAGCTCACAAGCATTTGAAGTTGTAATCGGTGATTGCTAAAGGCCGCTCCCATCTAAGGATATCATCATGTCCTTCACTGGAAGATAGACCTATTCAAGTTAGCTGGGTAGACAAGTGCTCCTTTGTAACCTCCAGTGTCAAAATTGTGTACGTATATGGAGGCTCGCTTCTGCTCATACACTGAAGCCGGAGGTGAGATCAAGGAAGGCATCTTCACTGCATGGGATTGTAATACCGCCCATTGGATGATCATACCCAAATTCTTCTTCTGCTAGACTTAACAAATCTTGGAAAGAGGACTGGTTCAAGTATGATACTGGGATCACAAACCGCTTCTTCTTGCTCTCCCCAACATAGACTGCAAAATAGCCTTTAGGGACATCTAAGGACTTTGAAGGTGCTTGGTTTTTCTTAGCATGTACAATACCAGGCAACCGGAAACCCATGATTTTGAAATTTCTTGATATAAATTAAATACCAACAAAGAAGGTTTCAAACAGAGAAAGCTTTGATATTCTTGGTAATGAGATGGCTGGTGTTGCTGTGCTAATGAAGCTGATTATATATGTGTATATATAGATGAAGTGGTATGGTGAAGACCAGCTGTTACGTAAAATGATTGGTGATGAAGATGGTGTTGTGAAAATGGACAAACACTTTCACTCACTCCCCTAATGATCTTGTTGTTGATGGACTTTGTGACACACACAAAGGATGGATGAATCACACACACACACTTTAGAAACTAACCAAGCACAAAATGACACAAGTATTTTAGAGGTTCAGCAATTGCCTACATCCTCTTGGTGATCCCCTTGAGAAATTCACTAATGAAAGAATAAGTTACAACTTTGGTTTACAAAGAAACCCCCTTAGAACTCTATTCTCTCCCAA